TTCCTCATCCCAAACCTACTAAAAGGAATCTGTATTTTCACAAGATCCCTAGTGACTTGTAAGCTCAAGAAGCACTAATGTAATGTTTTTAATCCACCCAACCCTAAAGGATAATCCTTGAGAAAGACAAAACTACTTTAATGGGGAAATTTTGTCCATAACGTTCAATCAGGAATGTAACAACTTTTAGACATGGCCCACTTAATAAAGAAACAAAAAACCTGAAATTTGTCTTGTGGCTGCTGTATAGTAATGAAGTTTGAGAATGAGAACATATAAGTTAAAATGTCATATGTTACATAAATATTCAGGACCTGATTAATTATACACAACCTTCCATTGTTTCCAACCTAAGTAGTTTCTTTTGTGAGACATATACAACTGTTAACTATTACACTGAATTCTAGAAACATGAAGATTGCCTTAGTAAACAATTATTTAATGACTAAGTGCAATAGTTTCAAAAAGAATTTTGTTCAGCCAGTAATGACCATGTTACTATGATGAATTCTTACTTGATACACTCCAGAAACTTTCCCAAAGGAGTTCAGCCAGTACTGCAAACTGTTACTTTCCTCTTAAGTATCAATGATAGGGAGCAAGCTGGGGGGGAAGAATAGAACTATAACTTCCACTTACAATGGACTATAAAGACTGGGGTCAGGATGTGATTTAAAGAGGAAACCACAGGGAGAGAAGGAAGGTGGCTCCAGTACCTGGTGTTAAGAAATACTGAAGTTCATTCAAGCAATTCACCAGCACAAGGCAAATTAAAGAAGGCTGCCCCTCTGAACTTGCACACAATATACACAACTTTCAGGCTGTGATTTGTTGATTCTCTTTCTCCTTTAAGGCTCTCCTTAACATTAATATTAATCTGACTTGTCCCATAAAAGAACATGGAAGCCAGATAGGTAAGGGGAAAAGGAATTGTTCCCTACCTGACTGGTCTCCCTACCACACCCACGAGATATGCCCCAGGGATGGGCTGAGGTCAGCCATACTTCCCTTAGGCAATAGTGGCTTTTTGCCAACAGTAAATATGCTGTGAAGCAAAATGTATCCTCTCCTTTCCTTCTAAGATCTGGGTCAGGAAAACTTTCCTTCACCTTGTGCATCTTCTCACCTGCAAACACTTTTTGAAAGACATGTTTGATAGCCATCCCAGTTTGGAAAAGGGAAATGCAGGTACTGCATTTGGATTTGGTAAAACAAAACCAAATAATCTGATTTCTGGGACTGTGCATTATTCACTTATGTATCCCCAGCCCTAGCACAGTGCCTGGCTCATAACAGCTGCTCAATAAATGGTAGTAAATTGCACTTATTTTCAAGTCTTCTAGCACTGAGTTTGTTAAATCTTGGGTGTTACATTGAAACCAGATAATGCATTGGAACTTATCCATTTTCCATTTATACACAGGCTTACCCTTTAGCCTTTCCCTAACCTTAATTATTTTCTATTTTTCCTTTGCTTATCCACCCAAAGAGCTCAGTTTCAGGGATATTTTACAGTGTTCACACTTTGCAAATAGTAGATATGCTGAAAAGAATCTAGTCTTACTCATCACGTGAATGAAAGAAAGGAGCAATACATTGCAGAGATCAGGTGTTCTGCGTACAGCAGACACGGGAAAGCAAAATTGAGCATAGCAAGCAACAACATCCCCCACACAACAGAGCAACTTTTTCTTTCACTTGCTAATCCTACTCTTTACTGCTCTGGCCCTGCCCTCTTTTTCCTCTTTTCTTCATTTTTCCTCTTCTACTTTTTTATTTTTATTTTTTTTTTATTTATTTTTTATTTTTTTATTTTTTTTTGAGACGGAGTCTCGCTCTGTCGCCCAGGCTGGAGTGCAGTGGCGCGATCTCGGCTCACTGCAAGCTCCGCCTCCCGGGTTCACGCCATTCTCCTGTCTCAGCCTCCCGAGTAGCTGGGACTACAGGCGCCCACAACCGCGCCCGGCTAATTTTTTGTATTTTTAGTAGAGACGGGGTTTCACCGTGGTCTCGATCTCCTGACCTTGTGATCCGCCCGCCTCGGCCTCCCAAAGTGCTGGGATTACAGGCGTGAGCCACCGCGCCCGGCCATTTATTTTCTTCTTCACTTGGCCTTGAGGCTAGTTGGACACCCACAAGAAAGATAACATTACCAAAGGCTCTCCATTTTCTATCTCACCTTCCTTATCATAAGGATGGCTCTTGCCACCAGAGAAAGGATGTCCAGGTTTTAAAAAAAAAAGGTTGTAACGGGTCTTCCACCTTTTGCAGCTCCTGTAACAAAGCCCACTGGGTAGTCAGCAAAGCAAGCCTGTGTGTGGGTCTCCCTATAGATTAGTTGGCCGTGCTAAAATCCCGGTAGTCTATTAGTTAACCCAGAAAAGTTTACACATTTTACATACAAATTTTCTAAATCAAGATAACATTAGTCAACCCCTTATCTATGAGTTGTTTATTGGAAAAAATAATTAAATGCCCTACAAGATATTTTTTAACTACCTGTTTCGAGGCAGACACTTTTTTAAAAAAGCATATTAACAAATATCACAGGGGAGGGATAGCATTAGAAGTACCTAATGTAGATGACAGGTTGATGGGTGCAACAAACCACCATGACACGTGTATACCTGTGTAACAAACCTGCACATTCTGCACATGTATGCTAGAACTTAAAAAAAAAAAAAAAAAAAAAAAAAAAAAAACCCACTGGTTTTTAAGACAGTTCCTTCTCGATGTATGAATATATAGATCAGAAAACTCAGTTAATGATGTCATCAAATAAAACAGGCTTTTATATCTGTCACTGGTTCATTGCTCAATAATTCTTTCTTCAAGATTTATTAAATACAATAAATATTACAATGTCACACTTTTTTCATATTTTTTCTCTTCCTCTCTTCTCTATGCCAAAGTATATGTATTTCAGTCCTCAATCAATTTCGATATGTGGCAGTTTTGTAAGTCATATCCGTTACCATTGGTGTCTTTTACTTATAGACACTGTCCTAAACCAAGTCAAATGTTCATTTCAGAAAATATTTTAAAGTATTAGAAAGCTAATTCTACCTTTAAAATTGTATGATGGTGTAACTATCCCATCAAATTTGGAGTTTTTCAAATAAGATCTTATTTTTTAAAATAAGTGTTCTGATTAAGTATTTTATAAGCAGTGAAATAAAATTTTTGAAACTTTGGTATCAAATCTTGCCCTCAAATTAATTTTTAAACATTTAAATCTGTATTTCAAAGCTAACTCATTTATACTAAATTGCCTTTAAACATTAACCTAAATTATAATTTTTTAGTTTCTTCTAAAGCATTTCTTCCTACTTTGATTGAGTAATTAAACATAAGCCTCATAGTCTTATCAATAATATATCTATGTGGTCTTCAACACTGCAGGCTAATTAGGGAACCAATACTCTTTATACCAACTGAATTCATGTTAATCACCCCAGTGATTAATTAGAGGGACCAAGTATTGAATCAAAACTAAAACCAAATTTCTCTTGAATAGAAGAAAGTCTTCTTGGTTACAAGATGGCATCCAACTAGGGAAGATACTTTGTTGACAAGTCACCATACATAGATTTTTTTCCAAGGCATATGATTCCTAAAGGTCTGTAGTATCTTCATTTAAAGCAGTGCCCTTGATTATGATTATTACGTGTAAAGTGTTCTGAAAGCACATTAGTAAGCAAATCATTCCAAACCCCTTTAACCATGTTCTTCTTATGTCCTATGCAATCCTTACTTTAGATTCTTATCTTCATTATCATAGTCTTCCTAACACTCATCTTTGAGTCTTTGGTATTTTCTTAAATACACCTTTGGCACCTAGTTTTTCCAATCTGTTTTATCAGTTAATGACAATTCTTTAAATGATACACTCCATAGGACAAAACTTCAGACATTGAAATCAGACATCTCACTCAAACCTGAAAGAACAGTATGAACCACTTCAAACAATTTCGTGAATCTATCCAACTTGTTAAATAATTATCTGTCAAATTGCAAAACATAGGGACTTATCTAAACTTCACCACCAAAGGCATTCTGAAACAATTTGTCAAATAGTGAATGATCAGCTATTATACAAAAATCAGTGCAAAGTTTCATCCAGGCAACCTTAAATGTACTCTTAACTAGATGAAGAAATAACATCATGTGGAATTTGTTGTTCTCATTAATTTTTGCAGATAAGGTTTCTAAAAAGTATCAACTCATTAAAAACAAATTTACCTCCCCACCCTTTTCCTGAGCTTCACAGCCTATAAAAAAAATAAATAAATAAAACTTAAACTGCTAACTAAAGGCCCACCACAAATTTTAACCAACCTGTAGAATTTAAAGATAAGCCCATCTGCAAGGCTATTTTGTTAAATTTCACTTTTAAAGAGAAAAGTCTAAGCCCTCCCCACAAAATAGTAAAATGGATCAGTTTGGAGTAATCTGGTCGTTACACTCAGCAGTTTAGTTGCAGTGTCTTTGCCCCATCTTGAATTGCTATTAATGGTAAAAGGAAAATGGCATCAAACAATTATTTGGCACAATGCTTGACAAGTCAAAGCACTTCAGAAAGAACCAGCCCTTCCTCATGTCATTTACAGAAAATTAAATGTGTTCCACCTTTCATCCTCAGGGACATGGCACTATCAATTTAATCTGTTACTTTCATTACTTTCCAGTAAGAGTGGCAGAATTTGGAAATCAGGGCGTAAAAGAAAATTTTTCACCTGTATAATTATTTAACGTAGGCCCCTTCCTACACATCTTATGTTTAAAAAAAATCTTTGCTTCTAAAGTGCTAATTGACCGCTTTATCATATGTGAACATATTTTCTAGTCAATTTGATGATTCTAAGGACTGCTGAGTAATAACCATTGTTCTCTCCAATCAGTTCAGCATGCATCTCATCTTTGATATCAAGTGCACTGGTAATGAGTGCCTTATATTAACATCTTCACTATAAACAGTTCAGGCATTTAGAAACAAAGTATCAATGGACTTAACAGTTACTTTAATTCATTTTATAAATAAGCAACTGAGAATTTTGCTCCAAGTGGCTGCTAGTGTAGCCCATTTCATAAATGGCATTCTCCGAAGCATAAGGCACAATATGATACGAATGCAGCTCTTCATAATAGAGAGACTGAGAACAGCATTCTTGTACCATAAACTTCAGCCGTTTTCTTGTATCAGAATATGCAGTCTTATAACAGGGAGCTTCTTTAAAGTATTCATAGCTCTCTTTCTCCGTCTCTAGATGTATCTTCCTCAGCAAATTGTTAATTAACACAGACCTTCTTAAGTAGGTTTCTGGGTCTTCAAGAAACCTGAGCTTCTCCAGAGAAAGTTTGAGAATGCAAGTTCTGTCCTCAGGTAATATCAGGTGCTGGAAAGCAAACATGATCATTAAATCTATATTTAGAAAAACAAAAACTACAGCTTTTTACTGTTGACAACACTCATAAAAATGAAAAAATAATAATAAATAAACCCTTACTTTTGGAAAATACCCATGGTAATCTTGATGTAAATCTTCTTCTTCTGCATATTTTCTCTTAAAGTAGGCTACTTTCGACGTTGTTAATGTATATGTTAATACTTTTTTTGGATAAGCTAAACAAATAAAAGAATTGGAGAAAGGTCAGATTTTATTGTGGCAAATAGTATCTTATAATATAAATTTTATCTATAAAAATAAACTGGTGATCCTGGAAATTGGTGTTCTCCCTTCAACGTGGTGAAGCAGTGATTGAAAAGCCGGCAGACAGGAAAATACCACCATCCAGACCCAAACTAGATGTTCTAGAGAGGATACCAATCTTTATTTCCTTATGCAGCCCCTCAGAAATCAAATACCAATATACTATTTTATTTCATGCCATTTAATGTCAAAACACACCCAAATTTGAAATGGAATGTAATGGGAGGAGATAAGAAATTTTTCATCATTCTTTTAGTTAAACTGCCCAATATAGAGAGGACATTTAGTGTTACTAGGTTAATCAAATTGGCATAAAATAGTTGGTAGCCCAATTACACTTTAAAGAAATAACAGTGTATCTATAGACAAAACACTCTATGATATGATTATGGTATAGCCATCATCCTAACACATGGTTTAATGGATGTTCTAAGTAAATGAAAGAATTAGGTAAGGTTCTGATTTGCAGACTTGGCCTTGTCATAATACTGAAAGTGAAGACCTTTGTTTTCTCCTTTAAAATACTGTTGCTACCGAGGTTCTGAGTTGTTTAAGGAAGGACGGGGTTCCAGAAGCCAATTTTCACTGATCCTTCAGTTTAAAGGCAGTGCTTAAGGGAGTTCCCAGAGTGTACTCTAGGTGGCACTCATATCACAAAAAGGAGGCAAGATCCACTCTAAAAGCTAAAGACAAGCAGCTTCCTAGAGAAAGCACTGAATGAATTTAGAAAACAAATTGAGTCCGGTTCAATACTCATTCAACCTCAGGGGACCAGGCCAGAAAGAAACTTCATATTTAAATATAAGTTATTTTACTCTTAATACACACCATCAAATATTTCTATGTGTTGAAACCATTTAGTTCACAAAATAATGAATAATTTATGTGTTAGTTAAATAAATCTACAGCAAGACATTTGATGGTTTTCCTCTAAAATCTTAAATTTTTCTAAGCTTAAATATTTAAAATGTGTTCAAGACTTTGCCTTTTCTAGTTTGTCCTCCAACTCAGTGGCATCTGAGCGACAAAAGCTTCCTGCAACTTTTTGTAGTTATATGATTTTCCTCAGTCAGTAAGAAAAGCTACAAAATCACTCCCAAGCAGTCCAATTTTTCACTGGCGTCACTGTGGATTATTAACCAAAGAGAGCCTTAAGTCTGAGTTGTTATGTTTTGTTAACGGAATGAAGAATTTTAAAACACTGGTGTATCTGATCTTAAAAGAAATGAGTATGTCATGATAATTCACAATTGAACTGAAGCAAAGACAATAGTTGCTACTATACTTACACAATCCCTGAATTCAGTAAGCAAACACAGCTTACGTAGAGTTTTCACTGATTTCAAACGTTTAGGAAATAAGAACAAAACTGTATAGAGAACAAAGAAACCAGTTTTCTCAGGGGCTGCTTTTTAGTAAACTGCATTTTCTTTGGTATATATTTTAAGGATTTAATCAAATAATTAGGTGAAGCTTTGGGTTATCCCATGTGACAATTACTTGTACTTACTTCTTTTTAAACTGTTTAGCTAATTGATGTAATAGTTTTCAAATGTTAGTGAGCATCAGAATTATCTGGAGGGTATGTTAAACTCTGAGGGTCCCACCCCCAGAGTTTCTAATTCAGTAGATCTGGGCTAGGAGCAGTGAATTTGCATTTCTAACAAATTTCCAGGTGATGCTGATACTGCTGGTCTGGGGATTGCATTTTGAGAGCCTCTCGTTTGCAGCATTCAGCAGCTGTAGTAGTAGCACTATGGCAACGAGTTAAGAGCAGAACCTTCAGTCAATCAGCTGATTGCCATATCAATAGAATGTCAGGCAATTGGCTTGATTGATTGTTATTGTTACTGTTGCTTCCCTACACTGGCTTAGATGCTTTAGCCTCATGAACAAAGCCAGACTGCATTTTAACTAAATAGTGAAGAATGAAATCAGTTTTCCTGGGTTCACACTAAGAAGCATCAATGGCTGTTATTAGCATTATACTTGGGCAGGTCACTAATTTTTTTTTAACAAGTTCTAATGAATTACTATAGTGTAGGTGACAGTGAGGAAAGACTAGAAAATGAGATGAGTAACTTTATTATAAGCAAACATGACTTTCTTATATGTATCTTTTTTAAATGTCTGCTCATTTTATCTTCCATGTAATGCAATATCTACAGCATTTACGACCAATTAAAAATCTTTTAATGAGTGATACAAGGGAGGGCAGGTGGCAGATTAGAGAACCAAATGACAAACTTATAGTTCTGGCTCCCAAGTGCACCTCCAGGAAAGATATTTTTTTTAACAGATCAAGATTTAAAAAAATCATATCAAATGATTCCAAGGTTCATAAAGATTGTCTGGCTATCATCAACCAGTTAGCCTAAGATACTGAATGTATCAGATCCTGAAAATACAGATAAAATTCTCAGGAATTCTAGATTTGAGTCTCAACTCCTCCGTGGGCAACACACTTAGCCATTTAGTTTATTGCTCTTAAAAAATACCCCCATGGGTTGTTAAAAATGCTGAAAAGCCTTCACAGCTGGTATCAGTTTGACAATTACCTCTTTGCAAGCTGTTTAGCTATTTAAAATGTTTTCAGTATCAATTTTGGAGGATGGTTCTAGCCACTTTTAGGTTCAAATATATAGCAAACATAAGTTCCTACATCTGTTTGCTTGGCTGGATTAGAATTCAAAAAATTCATAGCTGATAACTATGTATCCATCACCTGATTGAGCCTCCTGAGTGTCCAGATAAGAAAACTACAGCGCAGACAAGTTCAATAATTTACATTCTGGTATGTGGCTAAGAGTTTGGGTTTTGAAGTCAGATGGAAGTGGTCTGAATTCCAGCTCTGCTGCTTCTTATTTGTGTGACTTTGAGCAAATTACATAAACTCTCTAGAAATCTCATTTGTAAAGTAAGGATAGAAATAACACTGGCTCATAAGATCATTGAAATAATTCATAGAAAGTGACTGGCACTGTGCCTAGCATATAGTAAATACTCAATCAAATTGTAGACCTTATTTGTGCCATTAGTCACAAATATACCACATAGAAACAAAGCCCAGCCTGGCCTCCTAGCTCTGACTCAAAGACTCCACCACCCTGCCTCCCAAAAATACTAGATTGTAATGAGCAAGTTAAAAAACTGCAAGAAGATATTGCAAATGATCAAGTTGAAAAAAAGTAGTACAGATTCTATAACAACTCCAAATATCTCTGGTGTATTGCCATTGGTCATGCATTTTGGGTGAAGGAGGTGTAAACTATTTTTGAAACATACAGATAATCATCTGGATAATTAATTAAAGCTGACCTGACTGTCCAAGGAAGTTTGGTTGTTATGATTCAGTAAACATGTGTAAATCTATTATAGTTCTCCTGCAACTAAAAGGCCAAACTCAACCCAGCCTATTATTCAAATAAAGATGACGAAATAGACAAGAAAAAAATGAAATGACTTTATGTCTTCTTATTCTGAGTGTTCTGAGCTCTGAGAACAGTATGTAAATTACAAAACTGAATTAGGCTGAGCCTAAATTTATCTCTGAAAGTGAAATGGCTAATGCTGGCTTGAATATTCAAGCTGTTTCTAATGCTATATCCTCTGGGCCCATAAAATATCTGTGCCAGGCTCAGTGTCTTTGGTAGTATAAAACATCAATAACCAACAAATTAAAAGTTACGGAACAGAGTGACCATCCCTGTCATTAGAGTTCTAGCAATACAATTTATATGTAATTCTTTAAATAAATGTTTAAAATGTAATTACAAATGATTGCTCAAATGCTCTTCCTTATTGCTCTGCTTCGGCCTCCAGAAAACTAAAATCGTATTATGGTGCAGGTGATTTCATTTGGTATATGGCCCGGGGACAGTATATTAAGGAAACATCATGAGCAAATTAATTTACAAACACTTTGAGATAACAGACCACCATAAAAAGAACAACTCCTGTCAAAGTAATCCATTCTTTATCCAAGACTGAAAAGCTGGAGACATGGTGAAGAAGTGATGAGTTCAATATATCTTAATTTTAGTTTGGTTTTCGTTTTTCTCCCCACAACATTTAAATCAAAACATTCCAAAAACAGAGTTGAAACCGTCCTATTAGATGTGTGCATCCTACCCACAGACAGAAGGGGTGGAGGCTGATCAATGAGGAGAAAGAAGGTTGGTTTCATCTCAGATCAACAACTGACTTGTGTTATAGATAAATCAAGCACTTCAGCTTCACAATCTCTTGCTGATTTTTCTTTGTAACATGTTAGCCTGGCATGAGCCTTTGAAAGCGCAATGGTCCCTATTTAGCTAAATAATGCTTTGCTGGTGGCAAAGCTACTGGAGATGTTTCCTTAAGGGCCATGATCACAGTTGATTAGAAAGAGTTACCCCATCTGTCCCTGCTAACCATATTCTGCAGTCTCGCTGTATGGCTTAAAATACTTCAGCATAACCTCCTAGTTCTGTCCAATGGCCCCAGTTCAAATATCAGCTCTACAGTTTATTTGCTTACTGACTTTGGCCAAGATATTTAACCTCAAAGAGCCTAACTTTTCTTTAACTGTTAAATGGGGGAACAATATCAAACTCATTGAGTTTTACTGGAATTAGAAGAGATGATGTTTAAAAAGCAGTTACTCAGTGCCTGTCGCATGGGCTCATATTTCCTGCTCGATAAATGTTATGTATTATTATTGCAGTGACTTCATTTTGAAATCATAAATACATATCCTGCTCAGCAGCATTATAGTATACCTAGGACATTGGTCCTCTCTTTAGTGCTAAGCACGGGCTGCATGAAGCATTCACGAATGTATTCAAGAAGGGAGATGGGTGCAAAGTTCAAGGCTATGATTCTGTGCCTTCTGGAGACCTTTGGCTCTGTTGATGTTTAACAACGTTCCATCAGCCATCTTTCTTCTCTCTTATAACCCCCTTGCCTAGCACTTTTCTGGATAATATCCTTTATGGTAGTGGAACTCAGTGCCAGGTTTTATCTCTGAATCAATGGAGCAATCTGTTTCTTCAGATTTATCATCCACCCCAAGCACAATATTGACTTTACTGGCAGTTTAGAATTACCAACAAGTTCCAGCTCCTAGCAGACTTTCTTATGAACTTCCAGGAATAATGAGAGCCAATGACTTAGAAGACTTTCTCAAGATACCAGCAGCATTGTTTGGTACTAGATTGCATCCATGTCCCTTGGGATAACCCCAAGCACAGGCATGGAATAGTAAAGAAAACCCCACCAGTTCCACAAGCCTATCCTGCTCCCATGGTAATGGTCTCTGAACCAAACAGAACACCATTAAGTTTCCTTAGATGCTGCACTAAAGCCAATTGCTGCCATGATCTTGCCCCGCTAATGACAGAGGCCAAATGCAGGAGGCTTCTCGGGTAAACGTCATGATTTTCCACCGCCTAGAAGTGGATTCCTGATTTTGAGGAATGATGTTCCATTTTACCCCATCTTTTACCTTGGAAAGTAGAAATGAATTAGAAAGAAAATTGCTTTTTTGGAACCACATTGCAGTATATGGGTTCCAAGAAATCCATACCTAGAGATATGCTAGAGAGATACTACAACTTCCCTCAATACCCAGGACTGGTACTCAAAGAAAAGACTTTCAATCCCTAACCTATAGATAACAGTGGCCTTTCTAAAAGTACCTGATCTATATCACTCACATTGTCTTCCACTTTGATATCACCACCACCACCACTCCATGCTTCAGTATATTAACAAAAACATCTGTCCGGGCCAATGTTGCTTCTGCTATCCCAGAAGGGATAAAAAACCCTTATGGATAAAAAACCGTAAGATTGAACTAATCTTTAATTTTACTCACTTTAAAACACATGAGGATTTGCCTGGAGTTGGGTGGCTCTCTGCCATCACTCATATGGTACCCGATTTGTGTTTCACCTGGAGTAGCTCTAGTGGTGAAATAATTTTCATTCACAGGGTACCTTCTCACTAAAGAGCTATAAGTGCTTCCATGGAATAGCGCACAGCCATACTATACAGCCATAAAAAAGAATGAAATCATGTCCTTTGCATCAACATAGATGGAGCTGGAAGCCATTATCCTAAGAGAACTAACACATGAACAGAAAACCAAATACTGCATGTTCTCATTTATAAGTGGGAGCTACATTGAGTACACATGAACACAAAGAACAGACACAGGGGCCTACCTGAGGGAGGAGGGTGAGGATACAAAAACTACCTCTCAGGTACTACGCTTATTACCTGGTGTTGAAATAATCTGTAGACCAAACCCCCAGTGACACACAATTCGCCCTTGTAACAATCCTGCACATGTACCCGTAAATATAAAATAAGTTTTTCCTAAAGAGCTATAGATGCTTCATTAAATTGTGTTATGTTCGAGCTCAAGCAATCTACTTAAGCTTGTAGTCTTATACCACACATTAGATAGAGAGAAAATGAGCCACAAAGCAGTAAAATGAGCAGCACATGGAGGCAGAATTGAGGTTCTAGGCTCTTGAGTCTTGACTCTCTTTACGATATTCCAAACTTTTCTTCATGTTCCTTACTCATGCTCCCTTTTCCTAAGCACTTTGAAAATAATATATACTCTGAAATACACATGCAGAGTAGACTTCCCAGCCTCAAACTTGTTCCTCCTGTCCTTCTACACACCACTGATATTTAGATAACTCTTGTATTTCTACCAGGAAGCCTTCTTGCTGCACTTTACTTTCTGTCATTCTTTTGTTTTCTAAATATAAGGCTATATTACAATATTGAGTACAACACTGGTTAGCTCTTAGTGCTTTTCAGTAATATCCTTCCCCCACCCCTTCACCCCATCTGAGAATTATTGCAGTGAATTGGATGGCTCTATTATTAGCCCATTTGTATAAACTTAATTAGAAAAAAAGAAAATATAAAAAAACTGGTGTTAGATTACAAAGGGTAAACATTAATGTATTAACACTATTTCGATAAACAACTTAAAAAGAAAAAGGAAAAAAAGAATCCACAAGGATTGGCTTCTCCCAAAACTCAAAAGTATCCTTCCTTTGTTTTAGTGCTGAATAGTTGTGGTCAATGTACTCCTACCTCTGCTTCAGAGTTAGCAGTTTCACTTTTTCTAGGTTTCTGAGGCATATTGCTTTGACAAACAGAGCAATCCGAACTGATTATTCCTTGGCTTTAGAGTTATTGTTGGGATGCCAGCTGACATGAGTCATCAGTAGAGAGCCCAGGTATGGAGGGAAGGGCCTCAACCTCTTGATAAAAGTTTGCAACATCTCTCTGTGCATCGAAGCATCTTCTAAATTCCATGAAGTTTACATGACATAAAACTGAACATAGAATTTTTCACATATACCTAAAAACTTCCAAATAGAGTATATGAGTAAAAAAGACTGAAATTATATTTTGATTTAGTTTTAACCTGCTTGATCTCAGCCTTATCCAAATGTTATACTCCTAAGTGCGTGCCCTCTTTATAACCCATTACATATACAAGTGCAGCTGGTGTTCAGATTGATGAGGGTGACTAGATCCTTAAATAAAAATTGGTGTGGAACTCTGTATACATCTCATGGCAGATGACAGTAAATATTTTTGGTCTCCTTGGGTTGTTTCTCACCATAAAATACAGTCAGTATGATAAATGAAGTAAGAAGGGTGGATGGTGCTAACAGCTAACAAAACAAACATTTTTGACAGTTCAAATGCTAATCTTTAATGCTTAAAATGATTAAACTACAGATATTTAAATAAGTGGCTACAGAGATCAATAATCTTAAAGTCTCATGGTATTCATAAATCTGTACGACTAGACCAGAATAAATTTTCAAATAGGTTTCTGAATAAAAATGGTCAATTATTTATTTTTATAAAGGGAGGAAAGAAATGGGATGAAATGCAGCATGGTCTATTCTTATAAATTTGATTGTTATTTGCTAGGCTAGTTACCTACGGAAAGGGCACAGCACATGTGAAAGTTACAAATGCTGGAGGTCTGAACACTCATTTAAGATGTATTCAGTCTTGAAAATTGAGTTTAAAATGTTGAACCCTCAGAGGTTTCTATCATCATGACCTTATGCAAATTAAATTTGAAGCATCACAATAATCTCTTTCTGCAACTTGGAGAGTTCTCTTCACTTCCTTCATTCAAACAGGCACTCGTGTGCTCAGTAGGCTTCCGCTTGGCATGTTCCCGGAGCCAGGCTACCTAATTTGGCCCGCCCTATTCACATGGGTCTTAGAGAGGAAAATCTGCCAGCCCACAAATGTCCTTTTTACAGAAAACCTCTATTGACTTCTACCCAGCAACCATCTATATAAACAACCCCTTATATTGATCTTGTAAGTTATGGTAATGCTACATTAGCATTCATTTCTCTGGATACATATTTAAACAGTAATTTCTTTTAAGCTAGCAATTACCTGGTAATGCTGAATCAATCCGAAAAGTGTATTTCTAGAACAGTTTCAGAAAATCTGCTGAGAGTTCCCCTTTGCACAGCGAGCATTTCTCACAGCCTCAGGCTCATGAATGGTTACCTGAGATCTTGAAACAAGGAGACAGACACAAATAACATCGGGCGAGTCAGGACTGCACTGATATGAACTGGTTCTCAAGTCAGGAGAAAGCCTGCAACAGGAGGATATTATCTAAGATATTTGAGATGGGGTTGGTCTGGACTAGATAGATAGATAAGCCTTTAAACACACACAATCACTTCAGTGTTCTCCAGATTTAAGTTTACACATGAGAAATCTTAACTATCCTAAGAAATTTGGAAATAACTGAATAACTCATCTTACCAGTTATTTACTTGGGAGATTATTTTTGGAAGATTATCAGTACGCTGATTTAAAAAAAAATCAGAGTCATTCTTAAGTTTTAATGCCAGATTTTATATAATTTCAGGAAGTATTCCCTCTAAAGTAACAAACCAGGAGTTAACTAAACAGACGAACCCAGTCTTTCTTTAGAATGCACATTCTTTCTCACAAGATTTGAAATCACCAAATGCTACTTTTTCTTTGAAGACAGCATTTCCTTAAAGGGCCATGTTTAACTGCACCTTTTCTACATGGATGTATGCTTACGGATCTCATCATCTTCTAAATTTAGAGAGATGTGCTTTCCAAAGGAAGATAAGCAGCCAATAAGGAGGATCCCATCAAAAGAGAGGTGAGTTACTATGGTTACTTTTCAGGAGGTTGAGTAACAGTGAACGGCTGCTCTTGGCCAAATGGACCCTTTCCAGAGGAGGATCTAAAAAGAATGTTGCTATCCATACGTGTTGATTCAATTAGTCAAGACTACACTATGTCGTTTGAGCTTTAACCACAGGCTTTCTATGGGCGCTTGCTGCTTCCAGCCTAGCCGCATATAGGCAGCGAAGTCAACGGATAAACAAGGACTGAAAACTTCCGAACGCTAACCTGATAGCGAAGACCAAGGGAATCTTCACCCAAGAACCAATCCCAAGGTTTACATTTAAAAAATCAAATCAGGTCATTTGGGACCAGCAGCTGGCCACTCTTCAATGACTGGGGGCGGGGTGGGATCCCGGAACACGTCCCTATCCTCCCGCTCAAGGAAAGGAGTCTCTTCTGAGCTCGGAGGAAAGCACCTGGCTGGATGGGTCCAGACATACCTTGCGAGCTGGGTCCACTCACCAGATCGGCGCATGCACCTGTTAGGTAGAGGCGCGGGGTTCGGTGCTCACTCCTGCTTTTGGGGCTGTCACTCTTCAGTCGGGCACTGACAGCGGCAGCAGCGGTAACTGCAGCTCGGCGGGCAGCCCGAGCTCCTGCAGGTCCGTCCCTCCAGTCTCTGAAGCGCCTCTCACTCCGGGTTCGCAGCTCTAGGCGGGCGCGCAGCTGTTCTCCGCTCGCATTGGACCACAGGGAGCAGATGTTACCCGGTTGCTAGGAGCGTTGCTAGGAGGCGATGACGCCCCTCCACAGCTCGGGAGCAACTTTCCTGTAGGTCGAGTGCGCTGGCGGGGGCTGCTGGGAGCAAGGTTGAGCGCTGGAACGCCGAGGGGCGGCGAACAAAGAGCCCCTACAGAGGGGTCCCGACTGCGCTCGCCTAAGTTGGGGCTGGCGGAGTGGACTGGGAGGCTGGGGCGGGGCGAGAGCCACGGGCCCGGGTAGGTGAGCGGCCCCGCGCCTCCACCGGCAGGTCACTCGCTGCAGGCCTTGGCTCGATGTCCCCTACGGAGGTTGGGTTTGGGGAGAGGGGTGGGGTGGCACTTTCATCGACTAAGGAAGCAGCAGTGTTTGGCTCAGTGTTGTTGTTGTTGTTGTTGTTGTTGTTGTTGTTGTTGTTGTTTTAGACCCTGATGCTTCCTCTGGGATACTCTTCGCCTTGGAGCAGGGCGCTGAGAAGGGAGAACCGGATGAGTTCGTGGGTGTGACGGGGTGAGGCGTTTGGGGACGAGCAGTACGGGATCTTCTGCCTTCTGGGACTCTCCTCCCTAGTATGTTCGTGTTTGTGTCTGCAGGTTTGAGCACTTGATAGATTCTGAGGAGGAATATATTAACTAATCCATAAAAATCAGCCCAGAGTCTCATTCCTTTTGGCGTTGTCTGTGGCTGCCTACTGGCAGGGTGCCTCAGATTGAGAAAAAAAAAAAAATGTTCTTGTGGTCTAAAACACGTCCTTCACACAATTAGAAAGTCTTCATTTTGGTCCAACAGCTAATTAAAACCTCAGGCCAACATGTAAACTTGTTTAAAACGAAAATGCAGAAGAGCAAAGGTATTTTTCACAAAGGAGACTAGAGGTGTGCGTGTTTTAGCACTTCAGTATACTTTAGTGTACATGTACACTTTAGTATAAATTTACCCAATTGGTTGCATAATTTTTCATATCTCACTCAAGCTATGTTTTTATGTTTTACATTGCTTTTGTTGTTGTTGTTGTTGTTAAATAGGGCTGTTTTCTTGGGGATGGGGGATAATTAGAACATCAAAGTGGGCAATTTGGGTAGCCAGTAAGCCAAATTAAAGAAGGGAAGATGAAAAATCTAGTAGAGAAATGTTGCCCAAAGCTATCTTCAGAGGGAGAATCGCACCGAAGAAGAGACACATCACTTTCCTGGTTCCCTGTAGAGTCATGCCGGGGCCTGGAAGGAAGAGAGCACTACTGGGAATCAATTAGAAAGAAAAGTTGCCGTCTTTGGAGCCAGGGCAGGGCTGCTGTGCAGTGTTACATTGATTCCTGTGGTGGCTGGCTGTCTGTGAGGCTGAAGGGGCTACACCAGTGGCCCCACCGCTCTCAGGTCGCCCTGCTTGCTCTCTCAGCACCTACTGAACACCTGCGGCAAAGCTAACAGTTTGTTAGCCCTAAGATTGAAAAAGCTGGCAACCTAAAATCGAACTGTCTGAAGAAGTAATCATAAGCCACAGTGGTTTGAAGATCTGATGATAAAGTTTCAGCTATCGGGTATGACAGTGGGCTTTGGGATGGGTACACCTCAAATCCAGGAGATGGTCTTAGCCAGAAGTACACCACTGCTACTTCCTTCTTAGTTGGAATAAGGGCAAGATGCAGCTGATATCTCAATCAGCCTTGTCTTCTCGTCCAGTTCATCTCAAAACACTCTCCTCCTTGCTCTTTAAGGTCCAGTCACGCTGGACTTTTTTCAGTTTCCTTGAATATGGAAGGGTCTCACTTGCCTAAGGTATTTTGTACATGCTGTTTCTTCTTTCTTAATGTGCCTGCCTTTTACCTGGCTCACTCCTACTCAGCTTTCACGTCTCAGCTTAAATACCACTTCCTCATAGCAGCTTCTCCTGACAGCCTCCCACCGACTACATTAGCCCCTTAATTACGTTCCCAATTCACCCTACCAATCCTATTTCACAATATTCATCACACCAGATTTTAAGCTAGTGCACCTGGTTAACACCGTGTCCCCAGTGTCTAGCACACAGTGCCTGGTACATCAAAGGTAACCAAGAACACATGGGAATAGATGAATCCACCTGCCTGGTTTGAAGTCCCTGTTTTCACCTTAGCTACGGAGCTATCAGTTCATGAACTTACACTAACCTTGAAGGCAGCCACTAGTTGCTGTCTTTACAGTTACTCAAGCACAAGAGGGGGGCTGGGGGAAAGTCTATTATACAGAAAATAGTTTCATTCCCTTAACGAAACATTGTGTTTATAAAGCGACTTTTTTTCCCCCTTTTCAAAACATCTTATAAAGGTCACTACCTGCATTTTAATAGCATTGGGAAATACTCACCTAAAGTCATTTATGTATTTTCCTAATTCTCGTCTTTCCACACCCTCTAAAGTGGTTGTGAGTCCTCTGAGATGAACTGTTTCATTTTTCCTTAAAATACTCCTCTACCTCAGGTAAAAGCAGCCTCCATAATCACATGCTATACCTCTAGGGAGAAAAAAATGTATTTGGGAGCAGCTAGCTAATTTGACCAGTATGGACGGTATGTCTAGTGTTATACTTTATCTGAATAGCCTAGGAAATCTTTTCTATTGTCAGTTTAACTTAACAAATAATTGCCAAATCCCCTCCTCCTCTGGGACCACCTCAAGATATAACAGATGTTGGAAGACACAAAAGAAAGGTCAAGGTAATCCAAGATCACAGGATTCCTTGATGGCATAACTGGAATTAGAAAACAGGTATGATTTTAATCTTGACTAGGTTATTTATGTCTGCAGATATAGTTTGATAAATTCTGAAATTCTCCTTGTAAGATTAGAATCTTTCATTAAACAATTTTGGATTTTAAAATACATATTAAAATTCCATAAAACCTACCTTAGAATTTATCCAAATTCTAATCTTCTCACCACTCAATCTTGTCCCTCCTTGAGATGACCATAGATACAACGCCAATCCTGTCTCCTACTTCTTATCTGTTTGCTGAAAAGAATCAGATGTTTTATTACGTAGTGGAATGCACATTAAAATTTATCAGCACTGTGAAATGTCACCCAAGCTTCCCCTTGAGCCATATTTCTGAATATTTCTGGGGCAACCCCAGGGAAACTGTAAAGAGACTATGAAGCTTACAATATATATCATGTGATTTGACTTATTTGACTTATCAATAAAATGCTACACAGGTAATTTTTTAATTACTACAAAAGACAAAAAGAAGAAAGAACCAAAGAACCAGAGTCATAGATGGCTATCTCAATTATTTTAACATTTCAGCACGGGTAAGCCTGTGTTGAAGCAGTGTCACAAGATAGCAATCATTTGCCAAGTTTAAGCTCTCCAGATGACATACTCTAAGATTCATATAGGAAAAATGTTTCCTCTGCATTATTCTTCCTTTGCTCATAGTTATATTTGCTTTAATGTTTCCAGTATGCCATATATGTATGTATCTACTAGTGCACATACACACGTAGAAATGGTCAACCTTGCTCAGCCTACCAGCTCAAAACTCTTTGCCCTGTGGCTTCGGAAACGTGAACTCAAATGGTCTTTCTCTGCAACAATGCTCCTTCGCAGTGTTGAAATGGTCTAAATCTAAGGTGACTATGGATGTACAAGTAGAAGTAGAACCCTTAATCAGCCGATAGAGTTCTAGTGCTGTCGTGGGTGAGAAAGAACTTAAGCAACCAGTAAGTTTGCCATTGGCAAGCTTTTCGTAAATAATCACCAGTACCACAAAATTTCAAATAATTTTTTTAAATGTAAGTATGCCAGATACTGACTTAACAAGAGTCTTACCGATACTGTTTCATTTTCTTGGGTATACAAATAAACTACAATTCCCAGCCTTCTTAAATATAGGTGGAGCCATTGGACTAGTTCTGGTCAATGGAGTTTGGGCAGAAGTGAAGAGTGGCACCTCTAAGCCTGTCCCCTAAAACACATCATTCGATCCTCATGTCTTTTCTTCCTCCCCCATTTGTATGGCAATACATTCCTTCAAAGTCCATAAGGACTCTGAATGACCAAATCACAAAAGAACCCCTGAGATACTCCTAGAAAGAAAACTGATTGGCCAAAAACATCCCAGATTAGGGAGAAATAAACCTTTCTTATGTGAATCAACTGACATTTTGGGTTATTACAACAGGTAACATTACCTCAACTAATACAGAATTTTTAAATTGTTTAAAAATTGTCACTGAATCATCTATAGAATTTTTTCTCTATGCTTTTCTGTTTGGGGGATGTCAGCCATGTTTTGAGTGCTATGTAGGTGTCTGAATATAATAGCTCAGCTCCCTCTACTTCTAGCTTGTTGCATCTGAGCCTTGCAAACTTACGAGAACTGGGTATTTCATAGAGGGGAAAGTGCTCTGGACAAGAACTTCTCTAATGAGGAATTACATACACTTTTCTACATGAACACCTACACTTTGCATTTTACCTTCTCAGAATCCTCTTTAGATGCAATTTAATTAATTCAGGTGATCCTTACATTTATATAGCTCCTTACCTGATGTTCAAGCCAGCATTTGAACTGATATATGTTGATTTGTATATGTATTCACCATAAAAGCCTACAGCACCCTGAAACCAAATGAACTGTATGGATCATACATGTAATGCTTATAGTTCTAAAATATATGTCTGCAGTTGGTATGGTTTTGAAGTTAATGGTTTTTGTATATACTAAAATAAGCAGTATCATCCAGGCCCATAAGATTTGCATGTTGATGCTGCAAAACTGTATCCTTTTTTAACATAAAAAATTTTCACACATGTACATATAAGCCATCTGCTAAAACTTTATTGATAAAACCAGTAGCAGCAGTTTTACAAAATTGGAATGATTTTCAGTTTTCATGAACTATCATGAATTCAGTTGCAGCAGACATTTTATACAAACTGGGGCTAATGCTTCTTCTATGTTTCTGTTTTAAACAAAAAGCAATTAGAATTTATCCTCATGCATTTAAATATCTAATACAGAAATAGTGTTTAGACTGCATAAAATATGCTTTCCAACATCACTGTGAGACTGAACATCTGCCTTAAGTATTATTTGCACAAGAAAAACAGTAAAATTCTTCTAATCATGAATTTATTCTTTGTCACAGGTAAAGTTTTACATTTTCTAACATTTTCAAAGGGCGTTTCTAACAAAAAAGTATAGACATTCAAAATTTCACTGATTGGTCTTGTTTAAACACAATACATAATAGTGGATAGTAATACATTAAAACCATTATTATGAAATCTTAAAGACTACAAAAGGTAGAAAGGTATTCTAGTCTTTAACAATTAAAAAACTTCCACACCTTTTCCTATACACAAATTATCCACTGATAGAAGTAAATTTAGAAATAGGATGGGTCATTACATTCTACAGCTGTTTGTTCTGATAACAGCTAGTGATACATTCATGCTTCTTTAATAAGAGACACCATGAATCAATAAGTCATACTATGAGAAACACAAGGACACCCACATGGAATGTTCTGAAGATTGTCAGAAGTTTCTAAAATAAGGGTTCAACTCTTCTGAGGAGAAATTTTTTTTCTCTCTCTCTCGAACCTCTGGACCACATAGGAATTCTCTACTGGAAAACTAGAGGAGGAACTATAATAGCATCCGGGTCAGAAAATGCCTGTGAAACACTGGGAGAGGACTGGGTGGCTTCTACCTTACAACTAACAAAACTGGCCTTGAACAATCAATTTGCCAAGAAATTCTTCTAGTGACTTAGAAATCTAGAGGAAGACCAGATTTTATACTAAACCATGTTATACTTAACTATCCACAAAAGTGAAATTTATAAAATTATTGACTGCCTTTGACAACCACCAAAATTCAGCACAGTCTAGTACATATAAATAATGTATTAAAGTAAGCACAGAATAGAAAAAGTACATGTTTACAAGGTTAATACATCTGCAGCATCCAGCTGTGAGTAGAATAGTAATACAAAGCACATTCCCTGCTAAGAACAGTGTACTCCATGTAGGGTAAAATCTCCTGAAAATCTTCTAAAATAGTTACATATGTTCAAAATGAATGAATCATTCACATTTACATTTTTTTCATGAAAGTTCTTCAAGGACACCCATCAAAAGTTGAGATATAAAGGAAAACCAATAAAATATTTTAGAACAACAGAGCTGCACACAGTATGCATATGGTGAAACATAAATGTGTGAATATGAACAACTGTTTCAGATGCCATATGAAGACCAAAAATATTGAGAAAGTCAGATTTATCTTGCACTGTGAACACAAATAAAATATTGCTATGAAATCTTGGATGTACCTTAAAAATGATGTTTTAAATCTTTACTTTTTCTGGGAGACAATAAAAGGGCGTTTATGAAGAAAATGATTATACGAGTGAAGAAAGTTACTTGGGAGGGGAGAGATGGGCCAGATTGATTCTTCAAAACAAAAATGATAAAGTAGATTGAAGGACCTTTTTTGGCAGTGGAAGAATTTTTCTAAGTACTGTATTCAAATCCACTTTGTAGGGGAGGAAAAGCTATTCCATGTAATACTTTGCCTGTATTCAAAGTTAGATTGTTCTAAAGAAAGGTCTGCACTCTACTCAAAGGTTGGTGAACTGGCTGAAAACGTGGATTTGCAATTTGTTATATGATCACTGTTTGAACAAAAAAATTAGAACCCAATTTTTCTAGCATCTCAGAGACAGAGCGGCTAAAGACCATTCAACTATAACTTGTATTCAGACAAATTACTGACATTCTATGAATATGGCCCACTGATTGGCAGGGCTCTAAAACTGTCAATTACTTTGATATATTGACATAAAGAGTTGATGTGACCTTCATATAAAAATAACAAGCTATCCTATAGTCTTCAAAAACACTGCAAGTCTTCAAAAATTCAGCAAAATGTCTTTCTATCTATCATCTTGTCATACTTACGGCCATGATATATAGTGGGGTCTCAAAATGTTCATTATATTAATGAAGGAATGAATGAATCCTGTTCCTACAACCACCTGGTAAAAATAGGCAAAATGAATATTATTATTCCCATCTGATAGATGCAACAATGAAGGCTTGAAGAAATTGTGACTTGATATTTTAGAGCTCATTAATGGAAGATTTGATATGAGAACACAGGCCTCATCAACTTTAATCCAATATTCTTTACACAACTATACCTTTATCTCTGGAATAATGCCATGTTCTGCAAGTTGCTATAGCTACAAAGCAAAGGGCAGTCAGAAGACACATAGTCTCAAAATGTTTCTCAGATACAAATCATTGGCCAGGACTCCCCCTTCACCCGGAGTGACTATCAGTGTTATCTTTCCAACACCCATCTACTTGTTCATGCAACCTATACATTAGCATGGGTTATCTTTTCATTCAGAATTCAGAGCTGCTGTGTGAGCCAGATGCTTATATACCATTTTTAATTGATTTGTACAATTAACTATGATGGGGCACAATCACAAAGCTTCCTTTCTCTTGGCAGGAGTGGTAAATGTAAAGTGATATAAACTAGCAACAGAAGGTGATTTTCTATGATGAATCAGTAATAACACAGTTAGCACTTTTTATCGACAGATATTTAACTCATTGCGCAACAAAAGAAGATATTACAGAGTCACTAAATTTGGGATCACATCTTTGTAACCTTCAGAACTTTTGGGTTAGATTCCAATGGAGGGAAAAACTCGTACATAGGGTAATATAAATTATGAAATTATTGGTTTTTTTCATCAATCTCCTCCTCCAATGTAAAACAAGCTCAATATCATATAGGTGAAATTTATTCTAGACTGGAAGTTGCTACGTTTTATTTGATGGATCATATAAAATATATGAAGCCTTTCCTGAGAGCATGCACTTTAATAAAATTTGCCATAGCAACTGGAACTAGAAATAAAAGCAAATAGGTCATAAACGGTGATACAACCAGACAATGAAATATTATTCAGCACTTAAAATAAATGA